GCCAAGCAGATCCCGAGATTCCAGAGCTCCGTGGATCGGCGTCACGAGCTGTACCGCCGGCATCAGGCAGCGCTGGAGCTCATGGAGCGGGACCGGGTACGGCAGATCCCACAGGGCCCACAGACCCTGCAGACCTACAGACCCTGCAGATCCCACAGATCCCACAGACCTACAGACCCCACAGACCCTGCAGGTCCCACAGATCCCACAGACCCTGCAGACCCTGCAGGTCCCACAGATCCCACAGACCTACAGACCCCACAGACCCTGCAGGTCCCACAGATCCCACAGACCCTGCAGACCCTGCAGATCCCACAGATCCCACAGACCTACAGACCCCACATACCTACAGACCCCACAGACCTGCAGGTCCCACAGATCCCACAGACCTGCAGATCCTACAGACCCTGCAGATCCCACAGACCCTGCAGGTCCCACAGACCCAACAGACCCTGCAGACCCCACAGACCCCGCAGACCCCACAGACCCTTCAGAACCCACAGACCCCACAGACCCTGCAGACCCTACAGATCTCACTGACCCTTCCCCACCCTGCAATGGGATCAAACTGAGCTCTCTGACCCCACCCTGCAATGGGATCAGGCTCTGAGCTCTCTGACCCACCCCGATCCCGCAGGAGCGGGGCCAGCAGCTCCTGGACACGCTGCAGGAGCTGGAGAAGCAGGGCCTGCAGGCGATGCGGGAGCTGCTGGAGGGCACTGCCAGCCCCTGCCCCGAGGAACTGGCCGACCTCTTCTTCGACTGCGTGGAGGCCGAGATGAAGTTTTACACCTAAACCCCACACAGGTGGGTGGGCTGGGCTTCCCCCACGGCGTTTCTCTTGGATAGGGAATCACAAAACATTCCCAGAGCCCGACCCTGACTCTTCTGACTCCCCCCGTGGGTCCCAGCCCTCAGTTTAGCCTGGAGAAAGCACTGAGAGGTGCCCTTGGCCTGGAATGAGGTGCCAGGGGAAGGACAAGGATGTGGGATGGGATTGGGAGTCCTGCCCACAGCCCTGTGTGTGCTCTCCCCCATTTCCAGCCCCTCGGGATGGCTGTAGGGTGGCATCCAGCTGGACCGGGGTGGGAATAAAGCCTTTATTGCCTGCTGCTGCTGCAGGGTATTTGGGATAACTGCCCATTCCCCGCTCCTTTGGCACGACTCTCCTTCTCCAGAGCCTTGCCTGGGGGCTGGATGGCCCCGGGAGCTGGCTGGGACCCGCTGGCTGCCGGCAGAGGTGACAGTGGTGGCCCGGGGCTGCCCTGGGGACAGCGGGGTGTGGCGGCTCCGTCCTGCCCCGGGCCCAGCAGCAGAGCCCGGCGCTCGCACAGCTCCTGCAGCCGGGCCCGGTGCTCCTGCAGGCTCGTCCTGCGCCTGCAGCGCGCCCGCCCCGCCAGCTCCCGCCGCAGATCCAGCAGGAAATCTGCCGGGACAGCATTCCAGCAGCTGTGGCACTGCCAGCCCCGAGTGCCGCCTGCCCCGGCCCCATCCCGGCACCTCTGTCCACGGTGAAGGGAATCCTCAGCTCAGGGAGCAGATCCTCCTCCTCCTCCTCCTCCTCCTCCTCCTCCTCCTCCTCGCTGCTGCTGCAGGAGCCTCCTCCCGCCTCCTGCTCGGCCGTGTTTCCACGCACGGGCTGGGAATCCAGCTGCAGGAGCTGGGGCAGGGCTGCCACCACCAGATCCCTGTGGGAAAATGAAGGAAAAGCCAAATTTTGTGCAGCTGTGGGATTGGGAGTGGGTGTCCCATCCTCCCTCAGCCCACCGGAGCCTGAGGGAGGAGAGCAGGGATTCAAATCCCTGGGGTTTGAGCAGGGATTCACATCCCTGGAGTACGGAGAGCAGGGATTCACATCCCTGAAGTTTGGTGGGACAGGCTGTGCTTGAGATTTCATGGAATGGTTTGGGTGGGAAGGGACCTTAAATCCCATCCAGGGACACATTCCACTATCCCAGCTGCTCCAAACTGTCCTGGGACACTTCCAGGGATCCAGGGGCAGCCACAACTTCCCTGGGAATTCCATTCCATTCCATCCCCTCTCCACCCTCCCAGCCAGGAATTCCTTCCCAAAATCCCCTCAGGCAATGTGAATCCATCCCCACCTTATCCTGTCACTCCATCCTTTGTCCAAAATCCCTTTCCCAGCTCTCTTGGAGGTACCCAAAGGCCACCGTGAGATCACCCCGAGGCTTCTCCCCGTTTCTGGGGGGCTGTTCTGCCCCCCCTGACCCACCTGTATCCCTCCTGCCGGGTGCACCGGTTCCCGGTCAGGTCGAGGATCCGGAGGCTGCGGGGCAGCTCCTCTGCCGGGACAAAGGCAAAGCACAGAGGGGCTGGGAGCCAAAATTCCTGCTCGCCCAAATCCCCCTGAGCTCTTCCCTCACTCCTGAGGCAACCCCCCAAAGCAGCAATTCCCCCCAGACCCAGGGAAACTGAGGCAGGGAGTGGGGATGGGAATGCCACACGGGCCTGGGGGGGTTCCTGCGCTCCCACCTGTGTCCAGCACCTGGATCAGGTTGTGGGACAGGTCCAGGGCGCTCAGGTGGGGCAGCCCCTGCAGCTTTTCCACCCTCTGGATGCGGTTCCCAGCCAGGCACAG